ATAACCAATGTGTCAGCGGCATCTGCAGCAGTAAACCTCAACATTCACAAGAGAAGAAGGATCCTGAAATACAGTATAGTGAGTACCAACCAAGTCACACTCGATGGCGAAGCTCTGGAAGAGGTAGAAGCCTTCATTTACTTGGGCAGTACCATTAAAAAACAAGGAGAATATTATACAGATATGAAGGCACAGATTACTGATTCAAGGAGAGCATTCATACAACTGAAGAACATCTGAAACTCAAAAGAAATGTCAACCAGCACTACAGTCAGAATTCCAACTCTAATGTTAAAAAGGTTATCGCACAAAACTAAAACTTGGAGATTAACCGACAATATCGTCAAAAAAGTACAAGTATTCATAGACAACTGCCGACACAAGATACTCCAGACCAACGACTAGAGAACATAAGCCGTAAACGACTGTGGCAGACAAGAAACTAGCTGAGGAAATTAAGGGTAGACACTCGGGGTTGATAGGACACATGTTACGGAAACCAACAAAAGCAAGCCCTAACTTCATATCCTAAAGCCAGAAGAAAAGGACGAACACCAGGAAACACAATGTGTCAGGAGTTGAAGTGAGACATTGAGATCACAGATAATAGGCGGCAACAGCTGGGAGGGAAAATGGGGGATAGAGTCACTTGGAGATCTTTGGTCTGCAGCCTAAGCAAAAGGCGTAAATGAAATACGTCCCACAAATTCTCACTTATCAAAATCAATATTCGGAAAAATAGGTCAAACGGTGTAGTCATAAACACTTTATGATGCCTCATTTCATAAATCTCAGTAGTCACCTAACTAAAACATTTTTAATTGCAGAAATAAATAATCTATTTGGTTAATTAGCTTTCATGTTTAAATGAAGTTGAAACTATTCGTCCTACATCTAACAGATGCATAAAAATTTCAGATTCTTAAATTAAAATTTGATAAATATTCGAGAGTTCGGGTAGAGTTATTCAATATATCTTGTAAATAATAGATGATATTACTAAAAACCGAAATCACGGCACACTTCCTTGCTGTTGTTACTAAAAGGTTTACAACCGCCTCATCAATACTTTGCAAATAATACTATTGTATTCAGTCAGTCAATTACAACGTAGTTAAGGTTACCATATCCCAATTAGCACTGAGCGATGAAATCATCAGACCAAATCTCAGAACAGGGGAGATTGACGTCACTGAGAATACGATTCGAGAAAATATAAATTAATGAGATAAAAATACAAAAAAACGTTATGAGGAACTCAGAATTTGTGGGAAGACAAAGAATGAGTGAATCTGCGCCTTTGTAAAGGTTTTGAGCTATGTCATTCGAAGTCTCTAAGCATTGGCTATGATAACCATGCGGACCCCAACCAGGTAGTCTACACCCATTAACATGGCTCAGTCCAATTACTATTGACTTCATGGACTGACGCCATGTTTTGACTTAACCACCCCTAGCTATCTTCTAACCACGTCCTACACTAGAAAACACCGCCCATCGAGGTAGGCGGTGATTGGGGATACATAACTTGTCCTAACCACCTCAGTTGATGGCGGTTTACTACCTTGAGTATAACATTCAATCAACCAGCCAATATCTGAAAAAAAGATACTGAACTGTTAGAAAATGGTCAAAGCACCCTAAACTAGGCTGAATCTTGTAACTTCAAAGTTGTTGCAACCGGTTAAATTAAACCTATTCCTGTCGTCATACAGAAGGATTAAAAAGTATCTAATCATAGCTTTCAAGTTACTTAATAGTAGTCTCGCATCATTCTACCCGTCGTCGAAGACAAAGAGTTTACAGAGACATCGACTTTCCAATAGAACTGTAAACAGGTGAAGCTCTGACAGAATATGTGACTGGAGCTTCTTTTGTTTATGTATTCAAAAGGAAAATTGGACCAAATGAGATCTCCGTTGCCAAGATTAAGACATCATTCAGCCACCTCCTCTTCTTAAGATGAGGTCAAAAACAAATTCGAGCTCCTCTGAATAAAAAAGTATTACCAAGATTACGAATATCACCGATGAAATTGTCCAGTTTAAAATTTGTGGTTTGAAACTTCGGAAAGTTCAAAACATAAAATTAGAATTATTTGAGCAGTGAAATATTAAACGAGGCTGGTATAAAACACTGCACGAGGTTCCCGTACTTCAGTGTGGAAAGAATAAAACACCTAAATCTGAAGAATCCAGACTGAATTTCAGGTTTATGAGATAACATCATACTTTTGCCTTGTTGCACTTAGTGTCCCTTCAGTCTGATCCGATCTTACCCTGCACTGCTGTTACTAATAGTTAGTGAGCTGGTGTAATAAGCGACTCAGCTACCGTACATGTGTCGTTGCTTTTACAGTGGTCTCACCACTCCATTTGTGGAAAACGAACGTGGAAGATAGGAAGACCTCATCTTTCTAACTAATAATATTATTTCATCTGCATAATCTAGATCAGCCTAACAATATTTGAGTAGGGGAATAATCCCTGAGTTGTTAGTAAACAATTATCTTTACTTGTGAATCTTTAAGGCTGGAGAGAAACGGTTACAAGGTACAAAGACCCAGTCTTAACCAAGAGGATATAATTAATTCGTATTTTTGGATGACCGATGACTTATGAAAGCAGATTACCTACGGTTTGTGTACTCTAGATAAACTAGGTAATAACCTCTAATGACCCAACTTAGGATTCTGAGATCAAACTTCCTACAACACATCATATGACTGCAAATCTTATTCATTTTTGCTTTGTTCCAATATCATAAGATTAACTTCCACTAAAGGTTGGCTTACTTATCTAATGGGACCATAATTTTACCTTAGGGAGTTGTAGGTTAGTTGGAACTTTTACAGCCCCTACTTCTGGTTTTGCCAATCAATTAACTTCTCTATTAGCCACCGCATTTATTAGTGTCCGTTAAAGAGCTCTTCACAAATTTAAGGATATTTCCACAACCACCACTACTCGCGGTTATCAACGTAAACGGCTAATCAATGTGCATAAGCTACTTTGGCTTCAATTGATCTACAGCCTGTTGCTTTGCACACAATCCACAGCAGACCAACTTTAGCAAGCAACATCCGAATGAGAACTATTGAAATAAGAACTTGGCAAGCTTATTTCTTCATTTGAAAAACTTGCCATGCTCTCATATTCATCAACGTCGAATGGTCAGATACAGATTTAGTATCTTTCATCTAATAAAAACAAATATGAACACGTATCGTCCTTATACCTTTTGGTAGACAAAAGCATCAAAGTTTTATCTACTAGCTTGTTTTTCAACCAATTGAAAATTCTAAGTGGAAATTTTGTTTTTATTTTCACTATCGAATAATTTCCGTTTGAAATATTCAAGTTTTATGAGTACAGTACACAATATAATTAACTCATTTACCACGCACTTAGGTATGAGTCATATTCTAGATATGAGGGCTAATGGGACTACGCAGTCGCCCAAATCAACTTAAGCGATGAGGAGTTTGAACATACGATTTCAAGCCTGAAAGTCGAACGTCTTAACCACGGTTTCATGAGTGGTCGACCCAAACACTACGATCAGTAAAAACAGCACACAGAAAGCGAAACTACTGAATTTGTGTGTGACCGTTGTCAATACATTGAAGAATCACAAGAACAACGTTGAGAAACGTCTAAATATATGTATACCATCTTTCGTAAATAAAACATAATCATGCTCCATCAATTTGAAAACTATTTTGTTGTTTCAATGTCGTAACAATGATAATTACGGCGAAGGAAATCACTTTCAGTGCTCAACATTGCTTCGTTAGCAAACAGTTCTAAGCAGGAAATACAGTTCATACTGAAATTGTATTATTTGTGTTAACATAACACGTAAGACTATGAAATTAAAAGCTCCATACATAACTAGGTTAGTCTAGGTAAATAATTGTTACAAGTCCATTTTAACAAATCTAATAAATTCATTCTTGCATAAATCCCTTTAAACATTTAGACCATTTAATTATAAAAGATATGGAAGACAAACCAGTTATCCAAATATCTGAATGTTTCAAAATGAACATATCTGTTTACAGAAAACGATAAAGGTAAAAGGGGATAGAAGAGGTATGTATGTTCAATAAATATAGCTTTAAAATGGAAAATAAAATGTAAGTGAAGCCATAGTGGTTGCAATAATAAACATAATTCTGTACCCCAAAAACATTTTAATGTTACTAACAAAATAAAAGAACTTTTTTTTCCAAAAAGAATACAATTAAACTGGCACACGCATTTTACTCGTGAAATTACAGTATAAATAGATTCATAATGAAATGAAATGATGCGAAAAAAAATGATACAAAGTTTAAACTGTTTAAATGAACAGAACTGAGAAAAAGTTGCCTTATTTAGAAAGGTATTTGAAATGTTTACTTTTAAACAATATAAATTAAAGATCAATATATCAAACAAGTAATATCTGGGGATGATGGTAATAGTGATGGTTTAGAAGGAAACAACGCGCTTAACCATGCAATATCTATAAAGCAGTAAAGAAAACCAATATGAGTACTGGGACAAAGTATTTGAAAAAACATAGAGAGGAGAATTCATTTGACGTCCTGGAAACAGTCCCGACTCCACTTTCTTTAGTAGTCATACAATAGGTAAGTAGTAGATAATGAATAAATAATAGATCATAAGGAATGTGACTTGAATATTGAGTTCTTTTTCAAAATAACTTGCATTTCGGTTTAAGAAGTCAAGTTAATAGCAGGAAGAAATCAAGCGCCATAAACGAAAACCTTGAAATAAATCTATGAAAGGTTCATTTTTACATAAACTTTATTTCTCCGACATTAAGCGTGGCGTATAAAAATTCGTGGGATATATATATATATATATATATATATATATATATATATATATATATATATATATATATATATATATATATAAAGAGAGAGGAAGAAAGAATGTAACATCTCATCCAGTACAAAACAATACCAGATGATACCATAGGTGAAAAAGGGGATACTTAAAAAATACGTTTCGTGTTAATTTGTGCATTAGGTCGATTTTCGATCGAAACGGCGCCACTGTTCCAGGAGGAAACTAACTAGTTGGTCTCGTGAATTATCTTTAGGTGTATAGAGTTTCTGTTCACATTGGACACCCACTGCAACAGTTGCCCAAGATGTCTGTGGTTTTTTTAGATCTCGGACTGAATCAGGTTGTGGATTATATTCATTAAGAACGGGATTAGGTGAGTCGTTTGCTTGTACAGGAGGTGAATCTCCCATTCCAGAGCCTGAAATGCGATTCCGTGAGAAATTGTTCTGATGAGGTCGACCAGGGTGAGCTACCGGTCCATTATAACGGTGAAACTGACTGGTATTACGAGGTACGAAATGCTGTTGATGTGATCTTCGCAAACTGCCATTATTATTAGGACGTCGCCACTGATCAAAAGGACCATTTTGATATGCATTAGGGATTGCCCCAGACTGGGGTGACATATTTACATTATACCGATTCACTGAAGCCCGGGTTCTCGTGTTAGCTCCACCAACAGTAACGGGTGAAGCGTTTGAACGCTGACTGTTGAGATCGTCTGACTCGTTGGCTTGAGTAGATGATCTAAATGAACGTGACGATTTATGTGCATATCGAGGGAATGTCCTACTATCACTAAAGTCATGTCCATTTGGGAGATCCGAAGAAACAGATGGAGCTGGAGAAGATGAATTAGATGCTACAGGTTTAGTTTGTTCTGTGTTAGATATTGGTGCATTTTTGTTGCTTGAATGCAAAGATCTATCATATTTAAAGCGTGAAGCCGCTGAATTTGAAGTATTAGTATCACTTGGATTGCGCATACTTTGTCCATCAATTGAATTACCGTTAATGATGGGGCGTTGTATGTCTGTATTTTCTTTTGTATTTCGACTATTGGTATAACGAGAAGGATCATGATGGCCGTTTTGAAGTCCTCTGAGTTTCTTTTTTTGTGCTTGCCTTGTGTTAGATGGACGCACCTGAGTCCAATGTTGACAAGACCGCTGACCAGATTCGGACTCTGCATTTTCGCCACAGCAAAATGAACATTCAACTCTATTATCAAAATCAGTAACATAATTCCCAGGATTGACACCAGTATTTGAATGGAAAGTCACAGTAGTACTGTTGTCTTTGTTAACTGCATCTGTATGTTCCATACCTACGACAAAAAGATATCATAAGTCAGGTTAAATGATTTAAATATTGGTTGGTGGTAACTAAACGGAAATGAATCAAAGATAAATGAATTCTTCGTAGACAAATTTGGGGAAGTTAAATAAGAGATTAAACCAAATGTGACCTGAATAATACAAGTTTTATTCGCATTATTAACACGTCAATGTACGTGTGCTGGAAGAAAATGTACTCGAAACAGTTGCTCATGAAAAAGTCAAAAGGTGGGTCTGTAAAAATGCAGAAGACGTTTATAAGCACCATAGAAATATATTAAAACATACATAACAGCCACGCTGTCTGTGGATAGAACTAAATGTGAGTGGTGAGTATGAGATGTGGATTAATGACAACAGTCAAACGAAAAACAGTTTTGGGTAAATTAATTGCATAAGACGAAGGTTTAATGTCCCAAGTTACCAGCGACAGATACATGACTGTAAAACTTCCCGAGTCGATGAACAAATGAGAAAAATTTAACTGAGATTAAGGAAACAAGCAACTGAACACTAAACAGTAACGAGGGATCTGAGAGCTTTAACCAAACTTGTCTGTTGTTAGACCTACATCAAGGCGTGGACGTTAATAGAAGTAACTATGGTTTCATAACTGCTGCGTAAGATATTGCGTTCAGCGACGATGCTTAAAAATTGACCACATAACAAATTAAGATCATTCGTATAGCATAATAATTTTAATAGGTACGAGTTGCTGAGGTCAAAATGGAAAATATTGCAAGCGGAAATAGAACAGCACACATATATGTAGTATAAAATGACCATTTTGTAGCAAAATGAGATTTGTGATTACCCATATACCAAGAGAGGTATTAGTATGAGCTATTGGATTTTATTTGTGAAGACTATGATGCATTCGAGACAGCTTAACCAAAGCAAACGTTTTCTAGTGACTCATGTCCTCAAATATATTTCATCTATGCGAGTAAGTCACAATGTTTTAGATCAACACTGAGAAGTCTTTTCTCGGCGATGACTGTGCCGAAAGTTAGTGCTAGCCAGGTTGTGGTCTGTACACAGTTGAAGTAGACGGTCTGCGTTATCTGTCCTGCGACCAACAAGTCCCCATCGGCCACCTACACGACTCTCTTCTGTGCCTAGACGCCCGACCTGAGCATTCAAGTCTCCGGCTAGTACTACAATATCTGTCGAACGCACTTTCTGGAGAAGAACAGATAATTGGTGGTAGAATTCATTCTTGATTGCATCCGGGCTGCAATCTATCATGGCATAGGCGGAGATGACGAAAAGACATCGTTTCTCACGCCGATTTCTTCTCACTTTGATGGAACTCTCTAATCTAACAGCACATAACCGACTGTTAATGGGGATCCAATCGATTAGTGCTGCCTCAGCTCTAGCGCTTAGTGCGACACCAACGCCAGCAAGACCAGACGAAGATGCCACAGGGTCCCCGGATAAGCGCACCTAAAACAAGTTTTTCGAAGCGACAGATGGAGAGCGAATTTGCAGTACTTCACTAGAGTCTTGAATACGGGTCTCGGATAGACAGCAGACATCGATATTAAGACTTTCCAAAGACATAGCCAGCCCTATCTGTTGTCCGACCTGCATAAGTGTGCGAACGTTGAAGGCAGACAGTTTGGATGGTGCACGTGGTTTCAGAAAAACTGCTTCAGTATTCGTATTTGGTGGTAGTACTCAATTTTCAACCAGTCAGTGACTCAAAATCGTTAAGATAGGACAGAGTTTCCACCATGGGCGAGCTGTTGTAAAAGTTGAGAAATAAGGATACACAAAGTGGGAATAAAGGAGAGTGAATAAGTGACGTGGTAAGTAATAATAATAATGTGAATTGTTTGACTGTTGATCGAAGCGTGAATAGAATTATCAGTAAATATCGTCATTTTCATTTTATTTGCGTGTGGGCTGTGATACTGCCAGGGTTCCCAGACCGAAGCATATACGTATAGTGAAAGCAGAGCGGATTATGATGATCTGCGTCATCTTTAGCGCCTTCGTGGTGTTAATCTGACTGTAAAAGATAGGATCTATAACGCGTCGATGAGGGTAGTTTTGCTTTATACTTGTGACAGATGGCCTCTTCGAGTTGAAGATGTTGGACGACTCTGTTTTGGATCATCGTTATCTCCGAAGGATTGTTAACACTCAGTGACAACACCATTTTAGTAAATCAGAGGTTCGGCATCGTGTTCGAGCACAGCGACGATAATTCAGTTGATATCACCAACTTGGACATGTCTTACGAATGTCGTTTCACAGAATTTCACTTCGTGCACCATTTGCCGATGCTGTGACCGGTTGAAAAAAGTGGATGTGGATAGTGTGTGACATGGTGTCGTGATATGAATGAAAGCTGTACAAGAATGGCTTTTGTTGGTCCTTCGCAACTATTTGGTTGGGGTCCTAGAGATGGTGCAACACAGTGGCTTGAGACGTTATCAGACACGGCTGAGAATAGAAGCTAGTGTCGATCCTGCTGTAACTTTCTTTTACTTTCTTCATAAAAAAGAATAACTTTAACTGAGACCATTTTTTCTGTTTGTACTTTCGCTAGCTGAACTTCATCTGCCATGTTTATTATCTCTCTCATACACTAATTTCTGTTCGATGTTTTCCTTTTTATTATAGGCACTTTACATTCTCTATCTCCTCACATTCTCATTGTTATTGTGTGGCGCATATGTATTTGATGTCCCTTTGTACCAACATTTATGTTCAAATAAATAGACGAATTTGGAATATTCCATCCCTGATCATCAAATTAGTAATTCTGAGGTTAGATGCAGGGCACTAGGTGAAGATAGAAAATCGGTTTGTGGGGTGGTGAGTCTACTGGGAATATGGAATAACCGAATACAACTTATGGGGAAGAATATCAATGTTGATTCAAGGTGAATATATGGTCAACTTCAACTGATTAACATAAATGTATTTTAGTCTTACCAAAGTTTTAATCAACAAAGCCCTATCAGGAAACTGGACCTTTTACTCTAGTTATTGAGGCAATGAAAAAGATAACAATTGTCTTGTTCACAGTACTGAAGTTGAGAAACAGTAGCTCAATGGATGATCAAAATTACAGAATGTGGTGGTTGAGAAATGTACTTTGTATGCCTAACTACCGCTTACCTAGATCCGCGATGTTTGCTGGTGCATAAGTTGGAAAGCTAAGCGCAGTCAATCAAAAAGTGGCACCAGTCGAGTTATTGACTGCTGAAGTGACCTGTCCTAGTAGATAGAGACTAACCTGTTGGGTTTCTTAGGATAATAGTAACGTCGGGTGACATGTTCCAAAAATGGTTACAATGGAGCAGTTAAAATCACTCCTTATCTCCTCACCAAATCTTTCACATTATTTTTTTGTTTAAACACAAACATTGGTACAAGGTGGCACAAAATAGATATGCACCACACAAATCATTCAATATGTATGGGGATTAAGATACTGCCCGAGTGCACAAAACGAAGCAGGTGGTTTTCTTAAGGGGTCATTCCCGGAGCCTTTGACCTGAAGGTCTGATCCACAAGGCACTGGAGCATCGTGAGGAGATGCAGTCCCATGGTAGCCGGTGACCAACAACTGATTCATACACTATTTGTTCTTTCGGGATACTGGAGCCTATGTGCACCAACAGTTCGGAATCAGGGTTTTCTAACTCCCCTAGGTGGACTCTCCGTGTTTACCAACCCAATTAAAGCGCTGGACATTCGCTTTTTATTCTCTTAAGTTCTTAATCAACAAATTCGCCGCGAGGTAGTGAGTAGGACTTCCCTAACAGTGGTTGTATGCACGTGGCCATGTGACAGCATTTCGAGAGGGATAGCTGACTCTTCCCACTCTCGGCCGTACCAGGGCGTTCGGTGGCCGTTTTTACACCACAAACTCATTGCTTCGGAATCGTACTGCATTTGTCTGATCTCTTCTGCTATCACTGACACAGTGATTACTTCTGTTATCTCAAGATTTTTCATGATAATCTCATATCGGTGAGATGTTTTGTGAAAACTCTGACCGATGCACACATACGCCGAATTCTACGTTTATTATTACTGAACTTCATATTAAACAGTTAGTTACAATAAATCCGAGGACCCTAAACAGTACACCTATCAGTACAGACCAATTAAATAGTCAGTGACTTCATGGACTGACATCACGTTTTGGTTTGGTAGTGCCTACACCAAACAACATTGAAATGAAGGCAACCGAGTTACATGATAGTTATTTGATGATAATATTGCAATCTCGAACGGCAGTTTAAACCAGAGCATATTTGGACTTACGAGTTGTACTGACGGATGGTGAAGCTATTCGGGTGATAAAACAGGAATAAATGGGGTGGCGCGGAAACTTGAAGTCTGTTTTAGCTAATTACCTAGCGATTTAGAAGGTATAAATTGATGATAAACCAACCTACAAAGATTTATGATGTAATTAACAGATTATGTATACAACTGGCTAGTAAAAATATTGTGACTAGCAGTTAAAAAGGTAGAAGAATGGTGTTGAATATTTTGAAATACCAGTAGAACGCTCAGTATTGAAAACAAGATTGTACCAGTGATAATTTTATCGAATTTGATGGAAAACACTTAACATCTAGTTTATTACGATAAATTCATCATACATGAGAAAACACAATCAAAACTACTTTTGGTGGTGAATCCCTAGGAAAAGTCTACGACTTATAAGAAATCGTAAAAATCATTGAGGGGGATATATCATATGGAATAAACATCGATACATAGATTCGTAGAAAAACAACTAATTACCTAAATTGGAGTTCCATTAAGTGTTTATTATACCTTTACATGACTAGAAATACTAATGAACATCGACGGATCTTAACCTCTTTTCTGCTCAAAGTTTATGTAAATATTTGCAAGAAACAACGATTGTGAAGTTTTAATAAGTACGGCGGTATTTGTATCGGGCTTACACATCAATAACTATTAGATCTCTTCGGCAGACTCACAATGGGTTGAAACTGAATATGAGTTTATATTTACTAACCTAGAGTTGTCAAGATGGAAGTGGTGACTGCTCTTACAATCATAGCTACCATCCAGCTAACTTATACATGTACACGGAGTGTAAGAGTGTATTAATTACTACATATAAAACCAGTGTAATATTTTACATGAACTTTACGACACGTTAAGCGCAGCTCGCCCCAAACCAGAGTATATTTGTGCCAGGCCCTACTTTTTTAATGACTTAGACCACAAACTGAAATTATAAATTTTATACGCATGTTTCCAGGACGTTGTTCCGTTTGTGGATTTTCATCACACTACTACGGAGCTATCATAATTTATTTTCTGAAATACTATATAGCAGTATATAGTATTTTTATGATATCATAAAAGACACTGATCAACAACGTGACAATCGGCTTTCATGTGATTTCATGGCCATCGAATACCATGGGTAAGCTTAATGTCTGAGAATAACGTGAATACCCTACAGGCAAAATGAAGAGGAAAAAAATTCCACATTGGTCATACACAAGTGTCAAAAGTTGGGTAAACTGAAAGTAACCCGAAGCAATAGGCAAAGTGGAGATACTAAGCTGACCTGCTTGCAAATTGTGCTCTTCAATTTTGCGGTCACTTCCACAATGTGTAATTTTCTCAGCCGGCATGACGTATATTCCCAGCAGATTATCCAACAGTCCGCCCTACTGTTCGTGTGCAGCTTAGACCCTTAGTGGATTATAACAAATTTTAATGTCCAAGAATTTACCATTCGTTTAACAATAAATAGAGTAGAACAAGTGCGAGGTTAGCCTCAGTTTTAAATTATTTCATCGGCTAAAAGTTTCAACAGGGACCAACTAAACAGTTCCAATACTTGGAATATGTTACCCGAAGAAGTGGTGTCCACAATTTAAATTGACTCATTCAAGAGAAGACTGGACACTCACAGAAACATACTAGAAAAGGAACACCATAGGCCGTAGGCCTCCTGCCTTTACTAAACGAATCTGAATCTGAAATGGATCAAATGCTTATGAACGGAATAGTAGTTTTCATCTTGTAGCCTGAGAAAAAGTGAAGTCAACACTAGTCTTAAAAAATCGATTATTTAGATATGAAGTAGGCCAGTCAATTAATAGTGAATAGATACCTAATCGTCTGTTTTTATTGGTGGGACATGTATAAGTGACCCTATCAAAAGCTTTTCAGAAGTCAAGATATATGACGCCAACCTTCACCTTGCTATCAAGGATGCTTGTCCACCTGTCCACTTTGGTCAGCAAGTTATTTATACAAGACTGACTTTTCCTGAAACTGTGTATGGAACTCTCATACCAGTGAAGTCTTACAACGGAATATTCCTGGAGATCTATGAGCCAAGTATTAGACAGTTTTCTGAGTTAGAACTATCTAAAAAGTTTACTTCTACTATAAAGCATCCAAAACACGGCGTCTAGCTTAGGTCGTGAACGCGACGAACAGACATTTGTAGTATGTGGTTAAAGCTTTTAAAAGAGACCCAATCTTCGTGCTGAAAGGAAGGAAGATAAAGAAGAGCCAGCGAGGCTAACGAATCTCAGTAGTTGACAAAACTTAGTTGTTCGGAACAGAACTAAAGCTTTGTAGCGAACAAAATCTGAACGTTTTGTCTGATAGCAAAGAGCCGAAAAACCGAAGTTGATTTGATTGAATCAAACGAAGTTCTCTTGTACTGCGTATAAAGCTCATTTAATTAGTTCGTGTTAAACTATGTCACAATAATAACAATGAGACAAGTGCAATGGATTCTAATTCAAGGAAAAAATTATACCGAAATTACTTAGTGGTTCAAATGAAACAGCCTGTGCTATAAGATCAAAGTTTAGTCTGTCTCAAAGCAACGTACTTTATAGTAATAACAGAGGTTAATAAGCAAGCGCTTCATACGTGAGAATCTATAGGAGTATCCCTAACAAGATTGGAAAAAATACCTATCTACAATGATTCGAATAACCGTTCTCAAAAGGCAATTAGAGAAAAGAGTGGTCGGCTGCACCATGCCGTAGACTTGGATCCCCTCAAACAAATCTCTGTCGCTAATGACTCGACATTATACAACAACAACATAAGTACTAAACATAAGTCTTTACAAAAACTATGGAATTACTCAAACAAGATTGAAAGGTATAATACCGTGATTAGACGAGTCGTAAATAAAAGACAGTAAAGATGAGAAAAGAAATAATAATACTGTCCAATAAAACACCCTAGAGAGTCTATTGTAACACCTATATTCAGTGTTTTTGTGACGACAAAATGAAGATATCATTTTCGTTTATTTGTCACACTTTGTCTGTAACCACATTTATATTCAATATCTATTGTTTCTCTGTATCGGTGATAGAGAAGAGGATATAATTGTTTGGTTATATATGCACACACTACCAGGATTGTTGAAGAACAAACGCTACCTCCGCTGTCTGTTTTCCTGCTTTATTGGCCACAGCCTTTGACTGAAGATTATAAGTGTTATAACATCCTTCAAGGCCGTCCTACGCTATGTTGAAGTTTTGCCTCTGACTACTATTAAACACTACTATCAGATTTAATCTTTCTCATTAAGCCGTTGGTACCACCACGTTCAGATGAACCTTTTTAACCAAGTGAACTCATTTGTGGCTGTTATCTCAAAGAGCGGCTTACACGGGACATTAGTTCTTCACAACTGTTGTCGTTTTTTTTGTTTAAAATGCCATTTATATTGTAACTGCGGTTCGTTACCTTTTGCTTTGCTCATAAACAGATACTTAGGTTTGTAGTGTTAATTCAGTTTTGTATATTATTAGTAACCGTGCGTATTGTTATTTCTTGAATAAGCTCTTCTGCAGGGATTCACCAGAAGTCTCAGAAGTAACAAACATAAAGGGACGACCTTAATATCGTGGAATAGCTGTTGTTGTAAGATTCAAACTAAGGTTTAGACTGAGGGATAGCTGTCTAGATGGGTTAGATACGCGCCCTTGCCCGTTTGAAACCAAAACGGAGTAATTGGGTAAAATGACGATTCTAAACAAATATGACCACTCAGCTATCCAACTAATAATTGTTCAGTTGATCAAATCAATCACAACAAATAAATGTTATTCTATCCTGTCTGGATAGACCACGCACAGATTCGTTCAAAAGATAATATTTGGTCGCTTTATAACACAGAGCGTTTTCAATTCTGGAAGAGTGCCTCAAGTCACAACCAAAAATGCACAATTCCAGTCAACACAGGTAACGCAATCAAAAGGAGGAACAAACCAGTATGGCTGCCGCCAAGACCAAGTATAAAGTAAAACAACATAAGTGCAGTTCGAGAAGAAACACGGAGACTTAGTGAAGGCGTAATAAAAATAAAAACTATAATAAAATACAGATATTAACAATTCAAATGTAATCAAAAAACTAACAATGTACAACTAGGGGGATCAATAGGAACAAAATGCAGGTATTTACATCGAGGGATTTTCACACACACACCAAACATTCAAAACTGATCTTACAGTTATTATTACCGCTATTATTAACAAACGACTCGTTCATACAAATGTTGTGAAGAAACCGGAGGAGGCTTCTTCAGAAATGCACTTATGCACAATGTTTAATAGTGTTTTCATAATATTCACCACGTTTAAACAAGTTATATAGTGTTTTGGAGAATATTGGGTTACTTTTCAGGGATAAAGGAAGAAAAAAGGATGAGATGTGTAAATAAGTTGGTAAGCGTGGTTATGATACATAATCAGAAAAAAAAGTTTTAAAAATGATTAAGGTAGTAATATTGTCTTTGTTGCGTCAGTTGTGGGATAAGCTAATAAAGTATGGAGGGGCAGATGCTGATGAGTATGAAATACAATTTATAAGCCGGTATATAAATAAAAGGTTTGATTAAATGAGCCTGGACTAGTGGGGTTCTGACTTGACCTGGTGACGTCTTATTTTCAGAACACCCCAAAACAGCACTAGTGAGTCTTCCTAAAACACCTTCAATTTCCACCATATCATTATGCCAGCAATTGTTGTAAACTAAAATACCATATTCAGGAATAGGTATGGCACATATCTGTGTAATCGGTTATGAAATATCTGAGACGAACAGAATGTTAACACGATTAACCTGTGTCGACTGAAATCATCTCCCTCATCATCAATATTTTCTAGTCAGTAACTTCAATGTTTCTCCTTTTAGATGTTAGTTTTTTTTAAGTAATGGTTTGTCCATCTGTGATATAAGTCATCCAGCTCTATTTCCCTCACCCCAGCAGAGAACATCATTTTCATAAGTACAATGCTACAGGGATATCATATTGTTGAGATTTATGGACCGCGGAAAGACAGATACAGGATCAAGTATTACCGTAGGACAAAATTGGGGTCTCAGAAAAAATAAGTTAATACGAAAGGATGAAAATGAGATTCTCATCACAGGTAACAAAACAGAAGCAGTGATACGACAGCAAAATGTAAAAATATCCAAACTGATAAGAAAATATAAGACTAACTGAGTAACTCATTACAGTGAAGATTGTATCTTCCGTAACAACTTTATCTTTCCTGTAAATTGGCACGCCTCATATAGCAGACTGTATTTAGAGAATAAATCATTATTCAGTATGCCACAGGCATTTGAAGTTGGACGACATTTTACCCAGTAAAACCTAATATGAATCGTACCCGCCAAGTGAAATCAAAAGACAGAAGCGAGGAGGTTCGAAGATATATTTGATAGGCTATCAATACATTGTGAATCGACTGATCTAATCTGGTTAGCGATTGCAGGGGATGTCGAACACGGCGTTCCCACTCGTAATCTGGTGCGGATGCATGAACGAGCGCCTTTAGCTGGGTGAGTCCATTAAAACTAATGTGGTCAGCATCCAATGTCGAAAACTTACAGAGCTATTTATTTTGGGGATTTATTTACCGCTACATTATTATTAAATGTACAAGAAAATCTCCATATTATTTTAAAAGCAGTTAATGTTCCCTTCGTACAGTGAACAGGTTTTTCAGGTTTCCCACCCACCCAAGCCCCAAATGCATTATATTTTACTGAATCATGATCCGAGGCAGTATAAGAAAAAATGGGATACCACTGGTAACTGAGCTTCATTCTGTGAAGTTCTGGACTAAACCCAAGAGGATATCTGTTTGCTTTGGTATTTATCCGAAAAAAAATATTATTTAGGGGAAAAGCCATGTGATCCTTGAACTAGGAATTGTGGAACCTGAGGTTATCAGGAGATTGACTATTATGTAGTAAATTAGTCGTGTTTGCATGGGTTGCCAATCATTTATCTAGTCACAGTGCTGGGTACTTAGCAGTCTCTGGTGAAAAGTACCCCAATCTAGAGATGACGCACAGCGGGTTAATGAACTATAAATAGATTTAAATAGAAACTTAAGAAAGACTTGAATTATTATGATTAACTTGACTCAGTGTCTTTTGGTAATCTATTCCAGAAACTCGTGTGACTGGTAACGAAGGAGAATAACTCTAATTTGCTTAGGGTCTCCAAAATTGTTGCTAAAAAGGCTTAATTTTCAAGATTATATTTTCTGTTTAACGAGCATTTTAAGGTGTCACAACTCACTGTGGTTTCACTGCCTAGAACTCTGTAAAGTAAGCAGGATTAACGTTCATTAACTTTCTGTGCTTCATGTTTAAAATAATA